AGCGGTTCTCCGCGCCTCCTAACTGGTGCACTTCTTCAGTGAAATAAAGGTTTGTATATGTTTTATTCCATCTATAAAGTCTTTACTGTGCTGTAAATTGATAAAATTATATTAGATTAAATTAGATCTGCTTTTTATACACTTATTTTGAAGGAAAATGTGTATAATGGAACGGTAAAATAAGAACACTACACTCATATTGAAAAAATATGAAATTTGACGAAATATTTAACAAACAAATGTTATTTTAATATAATTAATATACTGTTATAGTTTTTTTTTTTTTTTGAATGTTGGATTAGATTTTATTTTTATATATTTTTAAATACATTTTTTATTAGTTTTAGTTATTTTAGTACTCAACTTAAACCTAATGTTGCAACTAACTGAAATAACGTATTTAAAAAATATATATATTTTCTTTCAAGTAACAAAAATGTGTTTTATGGTTTTAGTTTTAGGTTACGCTTACACAACAACATTGTACTAAAAATGGAAAAGTTTTTCCTATGCGTTTTTGAAAAGTTTCACATAGCCTAAAAACGATAATGTTGTCAAAACGATACCTGTTTACATGTATACACGAAAGTGGCTAAAAAAATACTGCATTAATATGTCAGGCGACCACCACCATGGGCAAGACCAAAGAGCTGTCAAAGGATGTCAGAGACAAGATTGTAGATCTGCACAAGGCTTGAATGGGCTACAAGACCATCAGCAAGAAGCTTGGTGAGAAGGAGACATCTGTTGGTGTGATTTATTCGGAAATGGAAGAAATACAAAACAACCATCAATTGGCATTGGTCTGGAGCTCCGTGCAAGATCTCACCTCATGGGGTAAGGATGTTTCATACTGTCTGAGTAGGTACTTCATTTGAATTTGAATTTACTTCATGACCGTTAAAAAAGTATGTTCTACATAGTATGAATATGGGTAGTTTGAATGAAATTCGGACGTACTACATCCTCTATGTTGTTACTGTCACATGTCCTACCAGCGTCAGTTGCGTCGCTTCACTGCCTTTCATAAATCCTCTCCCGTGGCCTCATGGGATAGTAAAGTGTCCATGAGACCAAAATTGAGCTCTTTGGCATTAACTCGACTCGCCGTGTTTGGAGGGAGAGAAGTGCTGACTATGACCCCAAGAACACCATCCCTACAGTCAAGCACGGAGGTGGAAACATTATTCTTTGGGGCTGTTTTTCTGCTAAGGGTACAGGACGACTTCGCTGTATTTAGGGGAAAATGGACGGGGCCATGTATTGTAAAATCTTGGACGAGAACCTCCTTCCCTCAGCCAGAACACTGAAGATGGGTCATGGATGGGTCCTCCAGCATGACAATGACCCGAAACATACTGCCAAGGCAACAAAGGAGTGGCTCAAGAAGAAGCACATTAAGGTGATGGAGTGGCCTCTACTCTAAAAAACGGTGGGTTGAGACCGCTGGGTAAGGACGTTGGGTTGTTTTAACCCAATTTTGGGTTGAAAATTGGTCTTGATCAATAACCCAGCGGTGCGTGTTAATTCGTTATCTCCTTATTCGCGGTTAAATTGAATGTAGTTTCCTAAAGGAAACGCCGTTATGTAATAAAGACTAGCCTAAGTATTTTGAGGCTGATGAAGTGATAATTGTTAAAAGTAATGTTTTGCATGTTATATTTCAGACATGTTGAGCTTTGTATCTTCATTGTGCCCGCGCCGGGAGTTAATGACACAACCCTGCTTGTGTGAGGAGGCGATTTTCTCAGCTTCTTCAGAAGAGAGGGAAAGACGGTTAAGGCAAGTAAAGTTCATAATTCCATTAGATTTATAGGTTTAAGGTCTAGCTCGATTTGGGTTCATTTTAGCCTAGCAGTGTAGTAATTTTAAACCATAAAAAAGCAACCCAGCATGCTGGGCCAAACATAGTAACCCAACTTGTTGGGTTAAAACAACCCAGTGCTGGGTTTGTCCCTTTTTGACCCAGCGCTGGGTTGCCAAAATAACCTTAATTGGGTTGTTTTTAACCCAGCCGTTTTTAGAGTGTAGCCAGTCTCCAGACCTCAATCCTATAGAAAATCTGTGGAGGGAGCTGAAACTTCAAGTTGCCAAATGACAGCCAAGAAACCTTACGGATTTAGAGAGGATCTCCAGAATTCTTGCTGGTTGGTAGGGGATCAAATACTTATTTCACTCACTGAAATGCAAATCAATTTCTAACCTTTGTATAATGTGTTTTTTTTTTCTGGATTTTTTGGTTGATATTCTGTCTCTATATGTTAAAATAAACCTATCATAAAAATGACAGACCCTTCATTTCTTTGTAAGTGGGCAAACTTACAAAATCAGCAGGGGATCAAATAAATATTTTCCCCACTGTAGTAGGGAAGTATGAGATTTTGGACGCAGAGTATGTGCCTGCACACACACTTAATACTTAGAACACGTAATACACATGATCATGTCGTCACTGTTTTCAAGTTTTTGTAGTTTATATGAAGATAAAGGTATAATTTTCAAAAACTTTGAAACCCATTTTCAAAAGTTAGCCTTTTCAGGTTGCCAAAATGCTGTTGTCATGTAAATGAATGGCCAAAATGCATAAAAAGTTGAAAACAGTGTCGCGTAAACGCCCCCTAGTTAACAATAATAACCTTGCCTTAAATGACCCTGACAGGTGTTCAAATTCTGTGGAAATCTGCTTTTTTTCTGCATGCAGATTTAATGTGGGTGTACAGATAAGTAATTCATGCACAATCAATTATGAATTAATACAATTGATCAAAAATAATACAGATAATTAATTAAAAAGAAAAATATTTGAGCATTCTATAATTTATAATGTTATATTATCAATAAAGTAATGCCAAAATGTCACTGATGTGCATTATTACTGTGCAAAGTGTTACTCATTCCTTAAGTGTTTTTGATAATAAAACTATAAAATTACACATCACATCATAATAAACTATAAAATAAAATTACATATCACACATAAAATTATGAGTCTCTTACATTTTTATGTGCATTGTGCTTCCAATTTCATTTTAACTAATGTTAAGATGCTGTGCATTATTCACCATTTCAAAGTTATAATCATAACATCTGTGCGAAAGTGCCTTTAAAAAAGGATTCTGTACAGCAAAATAAAACGTATCTCCAGTGTGTCTCAAAAAGAGCAGTGGGTGGTGAGTGTGGGTGTTTCAAAGTCTCTCCTCATCTCTGTCACTTCCCCTTGCTGACATTTACAAACCTACAAAGCCCTCACAGTTACTGCTGGAGAGATGGATTAGCTGCCAAATCCCTTCAACAAACACACAGTTTTCATTGTGCATGTCAGAAAAAAATGTGTAGTTTACAGTTACAACGTAAATGATATCATGTACATTAGGGCTGCACGATTAATCGAATGCGATTGTCATGCGCATTTTGTTAGTAAAGCCGGTTCTGTAATCAACAGGAAATCATCGTCACGTGCTTTCAGATGGAGCAGAATTTACTACACATAGCCGTAGTTCACTGACAAGTTACGCAAAAAAAATCGC